CAGAAGTTTCAAAGGGTTTATAGAATAATGTTGGATGAAGGAAACACTAAAGGGAAAAGAAAGCAAATAGAGTTAAAAGAAAAGTTGTTTTATTTTGCGCAAGTATATAATAATATATATATTTCAGAGACTTGTCATTAGTTTCTAAAATTGAATCACAAAATATTGTAATGTTTTTGTAAGCATCCAAAAGCCCCTTCAAAAAACCTGACTTTGGTTTTTATGCTCTTAAGACATTTTTGTTCAGAGATGTAAAAGCTAGACTACATTCTAGTCAGAAAAAGAGAGAAGGATCAGTAAAGAACTGATTACGTTCTAAGATCCTCCAGTAGTTTCTTTCTCTGATCTACTAATAACAAAACGATCGACGATCTTTACCGTGTTGATAGGATCCTGTTGCAATGTTGTTGCACACCATTTGCTTGGAAACCTTCTGTGGTGACTCATCTTCACCGTCGGTTTTGGCTCTGAATCCCAGTCCTTGTCTAGCTTCCATTCCTTTGGCACCTGGACTCATTAATCATAGTTACTCCTTTGGTTTAAAGACCGATCTCCGATAATGTCATAACATCAAGAACAACAAAAGCTAATTCCATCATCACAAAGTGGTGAGAAGAGTTTTTTCCTCACCTTATCTACTCCGAGAGTGAAGACTTCAAGGTCTCCATCAGGTTTAATGTGGAAACGGGTGAATGATTTGTAATTGGCGATCCGAAGCGAAGAGAATGCTTCATCAAAAAGTGTATGTGGAGCCAGTTGATGGAGATATATAAGTAACTTCCAAAAACCATAGATACAATAGGAGTTGAGAAAACCCAAGAGTAGAGGAAGACAGAAGCATAATATATGGCTGCTCCACTTCGAGAAAGCGACTCCATTCCTTCTCGGCAAATGTTAGTCCGTGTAACCGCCATCACCTGATGTCAAATACTTTAACTTCGGTTGCGAAATAGATTTTTCTTTTACCTAGAACAAAGGCTAAGTTGGCAAACTATGTTACCTCAGGAATATCAAATGCTGACATAAGATACTTAATGCAGGCAGGATACAACCCATATGTCCATTGTTCCATACGGACACGAAGGCCAATGGGGTCAGGAAAGTGCTCGTCTTCTACCGATTTGTACCATTGATACAATGTATGATATCCTGTGTATACATGAGTTCCAAAATCATCATTGGTCCATCAGTGTCAATGACATTGTAATGAGGAAAGCCAAAACAACAAACATTGTATGGAAAGCAAACTAACCGGAAGTCGCAAGGATGCTATGCTGAATGCAGATTTCTATGCCGAGTTCCAACAACAACATAAGAATCAAAGCAGCCGTCAGGTGTGCAGCAACATGAAGAATTCCGATTACAAGTCGTTTCTTCCGAGATATTTTTGAGGGAACAAACATAATTGCAGTTATTAGCAACATAACAACACTGGTGAAAGACACATATGACTGCTCTGTTATGTACACAAAGGCGCTCCAAACTGTTCCAAAGAAACTCCCCAAGTGGCCAGAAAACGAATCACATCGTAAGATGTGACCTAGCTTACACTGAAACCAACAATGAATGAAGATAAGGATATTCTTGTGAGCAAGTGAGTATTCAAGACCGAGTTGAAGAAAGTCAAAAGCTGAGTAAAACCGCACCTGAGGAAACAAGGAAAAGACCAAGAGAAAGTATATGATACCACCAATGAAATCAAATTGCCAATTCTTTTTCCTGAACTTCAAGATATTTCCTGAACATAATGTCTCTGAATGCAAAGAAAACCAGTGATAAGACGACAAGAGGAACCCAAGAAACATGAAAAACTTTACCCTGCTTGAATCATGAAAAGAAGGGTAGGCAGATTTAGTTTCATAGGAAGGACCATAAAACTTTGAAAAGTCACTGAACACATGAGTGGGATGCAAAAACGCTCCTCCACAACCATTAACAATAAGATGTTGGACATGTGCTGGTCCTTTCAAAAAGTCGCATATCAGGTGTCTCATGTTCTTTCCTGAATCATCTTTCCAATACCAAATTAAGAAGCCAGTTCGGCTCATGTGTGACTACGATCACTGCATCATTCTCCCCAACCTAAATGAAAATTTAAAAACTTTCATTAAAGCAAAAAAACTGAAAGTTGAATAGTATCAAACAGAAGACACAAACTATAAAAGTCCCAAAAGAGTTGATTTCACAAACTAAAGAAAAAACAAAAACCAATATCACAGAACATCATCTAGTTCGTGAACGAAAGAGCTCGAGTAGATGGGAAGTAATATAGTTTGTATAGCATTTTCAGAAATCTATTTAGCAGGAGAAGGAAAGATGATGCTGAATCTACCTTCTCCTTCACTAATTTAGAAAAGAAATTGAACTGGTACACATCAATATCACCATGAAGCGCGAGATCCAAACCAACCACCCACCATCCTTTAGGTAGCTGCAGGGCAAAATAACTTTTCTTTTGGGGCATAAACCAGCCACCAATCCAACTTTTATGGCATATATACCTCATGAAAGTATTGAGTCCATCGAACCAGTCTAAAATGTTAAATAATAACATTTAAATGGACGAAATAGACGTATGTAAACGCTGATGGATTCTGATACCTGCAATATATAAAGAAATGTCATTCGGTTACATTCAGACGTGACAAAAATAAAAAAAATAACGAGGAGGTCAAACACAGTTTTAAACAAATCAGCTGAAGTTCTGAAATAAAATAGATAAGACTGATCAGACTGTGCTCAAGTATCCTACTTAGAAATGTGTATTGCTTCAAAGAATATAAAGGGAAAGGATTAGTTGAGATAGACATGCCCTGAATACCAAGGAACCATTTCTAAGAAATTGGGTTTCATTTTCTGCTTCTGATCAGACCAGTAATTATTCTATATGTGTTGTTGACCTTTTTGGTTGCAACATTTTACTTAAGAAGTACTATGCCAAAGCTGCCATGGTCTTTCAGGTCATCAATGTGAGTGAATTTTGCAAGCCAAGTACTGTTGCCACCGTCTCCTTTCCACAACGAAAACCAGCTAGAATGCCTTCTTTCAAGGGGGGCTGTTTGCTTCAGAACAGCACGATTACTACAATGACTGTAGAAAATACAGCACGCTATACTAAGAACCTGCACAAGATAAAATGACACTGACCTTTGGTTTTTAAGTGGCCTTGGTGTACAAGATTGTGGATGGAGTACTTACAGTGCAGTTTTGAAGAATGGTTGGGCGTTTACCAGCCACGCGAGAAATAAGACCAATATACCAAAGGCCAAGAAAAAATGATGTGAAAAACAAGAAGAAAGACTATGGACGATATGTAAATTGTTAGAAACAAGGACAAATTCATCCTCAAATCCAAACTCATTGACTGAAAACTTGGGAGATGGTACAAAGCTGCAACTAAAATCCAAGCAATGTACCTACACAACAACAAACCAAAGAATTAAAACATTTGATTCAGAAAACTCTTGATATACGCTTAATGGATAGTCTTTCCGATGAATGGAGATGAAAAGAAATAGAAAAATCCAAGCAAGCAGGCATACATAGACCACCACTTGAAATTGTTGTCCAACTTTTCAATGAGAGTGTGCATGTTATCCGAAGAAATAAAGAATAGCATGACGTGAATGCTCGTGCGGGTAAGGGTAAGTATGCGTTAGAATCGCTCTGACCCTCTCAAAATTTTGAGGTTATTTAGCAAACGAGCAGCGTGCTTATCAGAGCCCATAGCTTAAGGTTCCTTTAGTCTTCAGAATTTTTGACGACAGTCCAAATCTTGACAGAACTAAGCACGGTTAGCAGAACAACTTCAGCATCTGGTTTTCGAATTCAGCAGACAGAACCTTGTTCCTAGGGAAAGAACAAAACAAGAAAGGAATGCATTCAGCAAAGTGTGGTCCAATAGTGGAACAATATTCATCAACAAATTTTTTATGAAATTGAAATAAATGGAAGAAACTAGTTTAACTACATACCAATCAAAGCTTAACTCGATCCTCAGAATGATTTGTAACGAATTTTATCGCTCTCTTTGTTCATCAGAACACATGCCTTGAGCTACACTATTACAACAACATAATCATGATTCCTCTAATCTCTATCTTTTCCAAACTATTTGATTCACCAGAATATGAAAATCCATCACTACAAATAAGAATGCAAATACCAAAATCTCTTAGTAGCTCAATAAATTTATCCCCACTATGACAATGACACAACAATTATTTTATACCATCTATCTAGATAACTGAGAAACTGATTAATAAATCACTCAATCCTAAAAAAGCAATGGTACATGAGATTGATTATCCCTCGTAAAGGAAATGTTTTAACACTAACCCATCAAAAGAAAATTAAAAGGGAAGAATCAAAATCCGTAAACATTAAACAAATTACGTTGAGGATATAAGAATTGCACCTTCATTATTCAGAAACTTGATGCGATCGAAATTGTAGTATGATCATCCTCACATTCACCGTAACCCTAGAGAAATGTAATCACTGATCTTTAGAGAAATGTAATCACTGATCTTTTGTGGTAGAATTTTAAAGTGCGGTTTTCCTGAAAATCACCTATTTTATCGGAGAGAGATGACCA